AACTAAAAGATTTTAAATTTAAATTTTAGAGAGAGAGCAAATAAAGAAATAGAAGAGCCTTACTTTTACTGTGTAACCCAAAATAAATAAATACTCAATGTTTAATTGCATTCAAATTTCAAAATCCTCAATGTTTTTTATTGTGCAAACATATGTTGCTGAAGATCATAGTTGCTCTCAGGTTCTTAAGCTTCTTTTTGTTTTTTGTTTTTTTTTTTTGGCACTGATTAATCTAGTGGCGGTAGCCCTACAAACATCTAAAGTCTAAAGAGACCAGAGATAACAGCGCAAACTTGCAATGGCGGTCCCTAAAAAAGTGGAGTCCTTTATCCAGGCGATAGAAACTAGCAGCCGTTACCCTCAAGTTTCTGGGAGGTAATAATATAGACTAATAGTACAATGCTATTTTCACTAGACTAGACATCAATGGTCCTAGTCTTCTTGACCATGGATAGACATCTCCCCATCATTTGTATCATATTGTGGACAAAAATTTTGTAGGTGTTTGAAGACCTAGAGCATTTAGAGCTCATGATTTTTTTTTGAACATTTCATGAAACATTTAGAGTTCATGATTAAACACTAATGTACTGCAAACAAAAATAAAACATTAGCACATACTAAAAAAGACATCATACACAATATTATTAACTAAATTCCTAAAATTAAAGAGCACCATATACATTGTAAAATAAACATATTTCTAATTACTAGTACAATCTTATTATAAAAAAAATTAAAAAAAAAAACTACTACTACTACTATTCATATAATCTTTACTATGTAAACGCATAATTCTAATGATTTATTGGTTTATATGTTAGTTTTATTAGTTAAGACCTTTCAAAGAAAAATCTCTACTAGCCAAGATTATGAACTAATGAAAGAACATGTTTCTCTTTAATTAAATCCCATCAAAAAATTATTGTAACTAAGTGTTCTTCCTTCAAATCTATATACTTAATTAAGTATTTTACGCATATAAATTTCTTAAACATATTGAAATCATGATCATTCACATTTCTATTGCATATGTATCAAGATAAACAAAAAAAAAAAAAAAAGCTAATAAATTAAGTGTCAGCTTAATATTATCGTTCCTTTTTTTATTTTTACTATCGAAATTCAAATAATTACAATGAATAATAGAAAGTCAAAATTAAAATTAAAAAAAAAACCTTTTAAATGTAATTTTTCAAAACTAATAACCAACAATCAATATAATAAAATTAGACACAAATTAGCATACACTTTAATTTAATATATTATATAACATACTCATTAAAAATATTATTTTTTAGTGTGAAATTAAAATTAAATAAATTTAAAAATAAAATTATGTTACGTAATATAAAAA